GAACACCAGCCTCATCAACCAGAAGAAGAAGATGGATGCAGACCTGTCCCAGCTTCAGACTGAAGTGGAGGAGGCCGTGCAGGAGTGCAGGAACGCTGAGGAGAAGGCCAAGAAGGCCATCACAGATGTGAGTGGCTGCCCTCCTTCCTGCCCCCGCTAAGGACATGAGCAGGGCCCCGGGGTCCAGGCCAGGCCATGGCAAGTTGACCCTGCAGCTGCATGAGTCTGAGGGCCCCGGGAAACAAATGCCACGATGGGAAAAAGGTGATCCTGAGGGACAAGAGGCCCGGGGCCTCTGTTCTTTTACACGTGTCTCCCGTCCCCAGGCTGCCATGATGGCAGAAGAGCTGAAGAAGGAGCAGGACACCAGCGCCCACTTGGAGCGCATGAAGAAGAACATGGAGCAGACCATCAAGGACCTGCAGCACCGGCTGGACGAAGCCGAGCAGATCGCCCTCAAGGGCGGCAAGAAGCAGCTGCAGAAGCTGGAGGCCCGGGTGCGGGAGCTGGAGAATGAGCTGGAGGCAGAGCAGAAGCGCAACGTGGAGTCGGTCAAGGGCATGAGGAAGAGTGAGCGCCGCATCAAGGAGCTGACCTACCAGGTGCGGGCATGGGGCTGCTCCGGGGGACAGTTGAGAGCAGATGTGAAAGTGCTTCCCCAGTCCCACCTCCCAGCCCACACACACATCTACTTTTTGGGAATGCCACCCGACCCTCCTGGAACCCATTTCTTGACAAGCTGTCTTTAGATTAATTTTCTTTCAAATTCACTAGAGTCAGTTTGGCTTGAGTCCATGATTTTTCCTAGTGAATGGAGAACATGCCTCTACTTCCTGAGTCTCTTAACCAGCAATTTCCTCAGGATTTTTAAAAAATGTTTTTATTCATTTTTTGAGAGACAGAGACAGAGCCCAAGCAGGGGAGAGGCAGAGAGCAAGGAGGACACAGAATCCAAAGCAGGCTCCAGGCTCTGAGCTATAAGCACAGAGCCCGATGCAGGTCTCAAACTCACGAACCTTGAGATGATGACCTGAGCCGAAGTCGGCCGCATAACTGACTGAGGCACCCAGGCGCCCCTCAGGTTTTTTTTTTTTTAATAACCAAAGTGCCACCATGAAGGCTTTAGCACAGTCCAAGGAATCTTTCTACTGGCCTGAAAGGGAAGGACATAGTGTAGCACTTCAGGGATAAAAGTCAGAGATGTGAAAAGACCCAGATCTTCCAAGGAGCCTCTGGAACAACAGATAGCAGACCTTAGATAAAGAAGATCCCCAAATGTTTTAAGACCTGCATCTGAATAGCTCAGAGCTTTTGCCCTTGACCTGTTATTTTCACAGTGTGCCTGAGAAGGAAGGACAGAGAAAGCGGGTATTGGTCCATTTGACAGCTGGATATAAGAGGCACAAGGAGGAGACACAGCTATAGAACTGCAGATGTATTGCGTACCTAAGTGCAAGTGACATCTTAGCACATGCAATGATGTGGAGATAGGAATGATCAGGTGACAGCAATCCTGTACAGTGCCCAAATCTGGCCCGGTACAATATAAATAAGATAGGTTAAAAATGGTCTGGACTATAATAGCACCCCCTTTGTTCTGGGTTCCTCATTAGTCCTCTCAGCTCACTCCAAAACCACTGGCCAAGAGTATCTATGGTACTCCAGGCTGGAGCTGAAACAGCCCCGATGTCTCCATAATATCAGATGAAGGAATTCTGTTTGGTTCTGAGGCTCTTTCCCCACTTTTAGCTTTAGGGCTACAGCCCTCTTTGCCCTTTAGGTCCAGACTGAGAACTGCACTGCGGCCCTTTGACCTACAAGTAGTGGCAGAGTTGGAATCCCCCACCCCCTCATTGACCTGGCCCATGGGAGGGAGGGGCAGCTGAAGCCTAGGGAAGAAAGTGACATACTGAGGGAGGAAACAATGATTGCACTTGCACTTCCCCGCCATCGGTTTCTCCCATCCATCCACCCCCAGACGGAGGAGGACAAGAAGAACCTGCTGCGGCTGCAGGACCTGGTGGACAAGCTGCAGCTGAAGGTCAAGGCCTACAAGCGCCAGGCCGAGGAGGCAGTGAGTTCATGGTTTTCTCCACTCTCTGTCAACACACCTCCCATGTGTGAGAATCGACGGGTGTCCGCCTAAGCATGGGGACTGGAGGTTTCATGTGCCCTGTGTGCTCAGAGCTGTGTCAGACACTCTGAGCAAACAAAAGCAATGCTTATCTGACCCAGGACCTGCCTACAAACTGCTTATGATCCATACATCAGTAGGCCCAAGAGAAGGCAGTGCCATTGCTAAGCAGGCCAGGGGGCCAGACAGTGCTGAAGGCTGGAAGGCGGCTGTGGAATTGGGCCCAGACAAGGACCTGACCATAGCACAGGGGGAAGACTCCAGGTGGGCAGCAAAGTGTGCAAATAAGGGTGGATGCGCACACATTGCAGGAACCCCACTGTTGGGAGCATCTATCAGAGTTGTGGTTGGGCAGGTGCAGTGAGGCTGAGTTCTGAAAGGGACCGGACCAGATAGCATCTAATTCACCTTGGGTAGTGGGTGGCCATGAACGATTCTGAATGCTGGGCAAGTTGAGGAGGATGCCAAGCCAGGAGCAGGATACCCTTGGCAAGGCTGGTGCAGGAACATAGTTGACGGGTGAGAGCACGAAGCCCCCAGCTCAGGACAGGGAGTCCCTCAGACCGCGATGCTGGGTATTTCCACCCCCTGCCGCCTCTCACCTCATCCTCCCCTGCCCCAAAACTCCCACAGGAGGAACAGGCCAACACCAACCTGTCCAAGTTCCGCAAGGTGCAGCACGAGCTGGATGAGGCAGAGGAACGGGCAGACATCGCTGAATCCCAGGTCAACAAGCTGCGGGCCAAGAGCCGCGACATTGGCGCCAAGGTGCGTCCCTCCTCCGGGACCCGCTAGTCACCCCATGCCAGCACACCCACCAACATCAGTGCCCCTCAGAGTAGGCACTCCTTACCCTATAGTGTGACAGACCTGAGGTCCCACCACTCCCATACCTGAGACTCCCCTTCCTACTCAGCACAGCCCATACAGACTGGCACCTCTGAAGAAAGTCCAGGTTCACCCCCTAAACTACAAAGACCCATAAATGAGAACCAAGATCCCTGAGGCTAGAACCTCTCCCCCTAAAGGTATCCCCTTTAGGCCCCTAAAAGCCCTAGAGATTCTTCCCCACACCCTTCCTCCCTCTTGTCAGCTGCCCCCTCACACCTTTTATTCCTTTCTCAGCAAAAACTGCATGATGAGGAGTGACACCGCCTCAGGAACCTCACTCTTGCCAACCTGTAATAAACATGAGTGCCAGACTCTGCCTGTGTCCTGTCCTTCCCGCCACCATCCAGGAGCTATCTTAAAGCTCCTGAGAGGAGGGAGGCCCTATCCTTGTGTCAGAGCTTTGGGAGTCAAGGCATTCCACATCTACAGAAGTGAGGTGTCCTCCCTGAGTCCCAGTTCTGCTCAGTCAAGCATACAAAGGAGGAGAGGGAGAAATGTCAGACGGAGAGAAGACAAAGGAGAGAAGACAAAGGGTGAGCTAATTCTTTGTGCTGGGAGACAGAATTTTAGGGTCAAAGCTAAAGCTACCCTCCACTTATCCCAGCTCTGAGGCTATAGGGGTTACAGATGTCCTAGGATACCTGTTCCCTCCTAAATGAATTTCCCACTTACACTAGGAGAGAAACTAACCTTTATGAGTAACCCACAGGGAGCCCCCCTCCTTATCATTCCCAGACATAGTCAGCTGGTACCCAGGTCTGACCTCAGCCTCTGTGGTCGCCCTCATGAGGCGATCCTGAGACAAAGGCCAGCTGATGCTGAACCCGAATCAACAGGCACTGTGGAGACGGAGGCCGAGCCATTTTTTTCTGAGCTATAGGGAGCTTAGTACTGTATCCAAATCACCTGTATAGATAGGTGTTAGGCAAGCTGGGTTCTAGTCCCAGCTCTGTCACACGTAAAGAGGTCACTTCCTGTGACTAGGCTTGTTTTCTCTTATGTGAAATGAGGTCATTGGACCAGATGATATCTAAGGGCTCTTCCAGAGCCAGCATTTTGGGGCACCTCATCTGGTGCCACAGGCTGACCTCACTCCTGTGGCCTGCGGGCCAAGTCCTCCCCACACCACAAGGGGGAGCTCCACACATGCCCCAGGCAAGCACCTGGTCCACAAACCTGTGTGTGCAGGTATGGCGGGTGGGCACTTGTGTCTTCTCAGACACAGGACTCAGGGCACCCAGCCACCAGGCACACCACAAAGGCCTGGTACACAAAGAACGTGGAGAGGAAGTTTTGTGTTGAGGGAAGTTTTCAGCACCTTCAGTGCAGCTGCCCTTCCTCATTACTCAGACCTCGCTGCAGAAGAGGGACCATGACCTGCTCCAGGCAGCATTTCTATGAATACTCCCTGGCTTTCCTAATCTGCCTGATTTCTGGGGAAGAAAAAGACTCACCAGTAGGATTTGAATCTTTTAATTTAGGAATGACCAGCTTCTTCCTGCCCTCCCTCCCCCAAACACCTTCTTCCTCTTGGAGCTTCATCAGAGCAGTGAGCCCCACAGACAAATCTGTGGTGACTTCTCAGGCCAGATTCCATCTCTGTAGGTCTGGCTGGGAGGTAGTGGGCTGAGGGCTAGTGAGACCAAAGGAAATGTGCACTGTTCCCTTTGGCGGGGCCTGGGAGCCAGGTAGCTCAGGATTATTGCTGGTCATCTGTGAATATGGAGGCAGGGAGGGAGGGGCATATCAGGATAGGGTGGCTGGGGCAAAGGGTGGAGGGGGCATCTTCTCTCCCCAGAGCACAGACACTCACCCTGGGTGGTCCTGGGCGCCATCTCAGTCCGGTAGATCTTGAAGGCATCATAGGCAAAGACAGAAACCAGGATGATGCCAAAAACCTGTGGGAGTAGGATTGGGGATGGCACAATAAAGGCCACTGGCCACCATCGATTTGGGAGAAGGAGGTGTGTGGTATGGGCAAGGTGTGAGCCAGAGCCCCGGGGTACTGGCTTGGACTTGTGGGGAGGCACAGAGAGTGTGCAAACACTAGCCAAAGGTGCTTAGGGTCTGGGGAGCTCTGTGGGGCTGGACTCACAAAAGCAGCAATGGCAGCTCCATCCCGAGAGGTCACAGCCGCAAAGGAGACCACCAGGAAGATGATGATGGCACTGACACAGCGGAGGAAGTCCTGGGGGGTGGGGGTGCAGGGTCAGAGGGCAAGGGAACATCACCCTGAGGTTTTCCAAGCTGGTCAGCAGCTTGACCCTCAGGCACTGTGAATCCCTACATGGAAATACCCCTGGACACAATATAAAGCATTTGAGGGAGAGAGAGAGAGAGCCAGAGATCACACGGCTAACTAGGGAAGGGATGCAGGTGAATGGAAAATGACCAAGATGAGAAGCCAGGCCCTGGGTGGCACAGGGCTGGGGCATACCAGCTAGGAGGGCCAGGGCAGGGCTAGACTGGGCCTGGACCTTTGGTGAGTGGAAGAGCTGCTCTAAATGATCTGCATCCTTGTTGTCAGTGACAACAGTGAAACCAGGGTGGGGCTGGGCCCCTTACTGACCCAGGAAAAGGAGAGAGGCTGGGAAGGAAAAGGAAAATTTAGCATTCAGAGAAGGGACCAGATTGGGGTAAGGGAGGCAGCATCCCTCACCAGACAGGGCCAATTCAGACGATCGAAGCGCTGGTAGTACTGGGTAGCGTAGAGGAAGAGGAAGGCGAGCGTGATGAAGAACTCGAGCAGCGCTGCAGCCATGTAGGCAGAGATGGAGGCCGTGAAGCAGATGAAGATGATGAAGCTCAGGGCCTGCAGGACCAAGTATGTGAAGTTTTCCAGGAAGGGGACACAGGCATGGCCAGATTTTTGCCTTCCCCTCCTCAGGAACTCCCCCAGGCTGGCCCCTCCCCAACCCATCCTTGGAGGTCTCCGCATCCCTGGTAGCAGGAGCCCAAAATAGTGTTTGCCCGTTGAGGGCAGTCTGCAGCTTCCCACCTCTCCCTGCCCTGGATCCGGGCAACCTCAGCAGTGTGGCCCAGCTGCACCACCCCCAGGGGCACCATTCTATGGAACCCACAAAAGAGGTGTCCTGCTGAAGCATGGGGGACAGGGTGAAATCCAGCCTCTGGAGTCATGCCCCCCAGTAGCCCTGTACCCCCAGAGGGACCCCCTATGCCATAATACTTTCCCTGCTCCCAGATATCGTAAACTCCTCTAAACAAGGACCAAAACAAGGCCTTGGGTTCTATACCCAGAGACAAGGTTTAGAAGGCAGATGGACTTTAAGTATCCCTTGGCTCTGGCAATATAGGATGCCATATGTGCAATGGACTTAAGTTAATGCTAAGGTCTTGCTAAGTGACAAGGGAAGAGCCTTTCCTGAGAATAGATGTTCATGGGGAGCAGACAACAGATAAAGTGGGACTGCAGAAAGTCTGCCCTTTATTTCCTAACTTCAGTCCTTCCTGCTGCACCCGAACCTGCTGTAACTGTCTTCAGATGGAAAGGCAGCAAGAAGGCAGGGTAGGAGGTGAAGGCAGGGCAGCTGGGGGCAGCAGGGATGTCCAGAAAGCCTGGGAAAGGATCCGGCTAAGGAGTGAGTCCAGGGGAGGCCCTGGGATGGGGAGAGGGAAGACTGGGATCATATTGGGAGAGACAGAGGTGCCAGGTTGGGGAGGTGGCTGTTACCAGCTCCGTTTCCAGCAAGATGCCTTTGAGGGAGGAGAGGAAGGTCTTGTCCATGGTGAAGCCCTGGAGCACTGCAGCTGCCCCCTCTTCGGGGGGCCGGTCCCTGCGATCCCGAGCACTGAGCATCTCCGTGGGGCCCCCCAGGCACAGCCCCCACTGCTACCAGCCAGGGAAGGGAACTGGGAAGACGGAAACCTGGAGAGATGGGGAAGCAAACAGGAACAGGGAGGCACTTGGAGAAATCTGAAAGAGAAGTGGGCAGGCTGGCTGTGGGGCCGCAGGGGAGGCTTGCCCAGATGGACCTTCTCCCAGCTGCCCAGAGTGCCTCTGCTGGGGCCTGCAATGACCCCCCCAGGAAGCACATGGGGAGGGGAGGGGTGGGGCGGGGAGGAGTGGTCAGCCCTCCCCTTACTGGAGCCCAACCCCGCCCAGAGAAGGAGAGAAGGGAGGAGGGGGGGGAAGGAGGAGGTCCACAAAGAAACTGGGAGGAGCCTGGTGGTCAGCGGAGAAACGGGCTAGACGAGGGGCCCCCCAAGGACCCGTGCCTGAAGAAGTTTGCATCCCCCTCCCTTAACTCCTCTCTTCCTGGCTGTCCTTTCTCCCTTTTCCTTTTAAGGAGGGTGGGAGCTGGAGCCCGGCCCAGGCAGCACCCCCCAGGACCAGGCTATAGCAGCCAAGACTGAGGACAAAGGCAGATTGTTGGGGGGACAAGGGGGCGCTGTGTGCCTGCTGCAGTGCCTCAATGGGCCTCTGTCTCTCCAGCATGCCAGGAGGGCAGCCTGACCCCCGCCCCAGTGTTCAGGGGTAGGCCAGGGAGCCAGAGAAGGGCCGGGATGGGAGGCCACAGCGGAAACTCTGGAAGGCAGAAGAACAGGGCAGTAGGTAAGGGCTGACGGTGGGGAAGAGAAAGAACCAGGCTGGGGAGCTTGGTGCTCAGGCACCAGGGACGCCAAGACAATTTAGGCCGTTTTAAATACAGATTATTTATTTGGATAAGTCTCTCAATGCTCAATAAGCAGCCTCTTCCTCAGAGCCTAGTAACTGCACCAAGGTATGTGCAAAGGAGATGCTCAAGGAGTGTTGGATGGATGGATGGATGGATGGATGGATGGATGGACGGACAGATGAACGAACAAATGAAATGAGGGGCTCTCCATTGACAAAGGGGAAAGTAGCAAGAAAGTGCTTGTGCTGTGCCAGGCCAGCTGGGGATGGGAGAAAAGGAAGAGACAGGGATGCTCCAGAAAGGAGCAGGGCCTTAATGACCTCTCCCAAGAGGAAATGCAGGACGCCCTCTTCTAGCGGCCTCAAGCAGCTCCGTTGCTTCACCCTGCATTTCCCATCCACTCCAAATGTGAAAAGTGCGGATCCCCCCAAAGTCCTCCACCCTGTCCCATGATTTTGCTGCTCCAGTAGTGCTTTGAAGGGGGTGAGCATTCGGGTTCCTGGCTCACCATGGCAGGTGGTCATACACCCAGTTCCACTGTTCCAACCAGGAACTGGCCATGGGCGCATGACTAGGCCATCACTCGGGGTCGCACACACACACAAGCCAGGGAGACGCGGTAGAGCCTTTGTTCCAGGCAGTAGCCATCACGGGCACCCTGCTCTCCAGGGCATGGCCGCCGGTAGAAGACAGTCTGGTTGTGGTAGAGCAACTCCGAGTTGCCCAGGGGGTCCATGTGGGAGCCAGTCTGTAGGCTGACACAGTGTGGACACAGGCAACGAGCGTGGTACAGGTCCTGGGGGAGCCGGTTCAAGTCCCTGTCCAACCTGCAGGGGTGGCACTCATCAGACTCTGGAGGGAGACTGGCAGGGCAGACGGGGGACGGGCCAGAAGCAGGGAGGGCTCCGCGTGGAAACTTGGTAGTGAGGCAGGCCTGGCTTTTTGTCCCAGCTTTTGCACCCACTTGCTGAGTGACTTTAAGCAAGTCACCCCCTCCTGTCTGGGATTTGTTTTCCCTACTGTAAGTGAGGGCTGGGGAGGAAGAGTGGTTTTCTGATTCCAGGAGCCTTTGCCGAGGCAGGGGAAGACAAGCAGCCTCAGGCATGAGGTTTCTTTCTGTAACTGTCATTACACTTTTAGGGTTTATTATTATTATTATTAAGTAAAAATTGTTCTTACGTCCAAGTATAAAAAACTGTAAAGTTCACGGTCTCCCTACGAGTCTCACTCCCCAGAGGGAGCCACTGTCAACCATTTCCTGCACATCCTTCCAGACACTTTTTATGCATATATTATAAATACACATAAGTGTGCGTGGTAAGACATATTTACTTATTCTGAAAGGATTTTGTGGCCAAAACAAGACTTGAAAAGTAGATGCTCCCAAGGTCTGAGACTCCCAAAGGCTGGCAGGAAACAACCACTGGGTTGTAAGACCATTCTCATACAGACAAGCCGTCCCGAGCTGGGGCTCAGCTAGCACACCGTTTCCCAGAGAGGGATCCCTCGTAACTACCCTGCAAGAAAAGGGGCCTGCGGCCAAATGAGTTTGGGAAATACAATGTCTTCTTTTCCACAGACTTCTCACAGCCTTTAATGCACTGAGCACATTATGAATCTCTGAGGGGTGAGGGCTAGAGCAACTTTTCCCACATTTAACTGTCATCATTAATTTCTGAGGAGAAGTTTGTGGGACGAGTACCACAAAGAAAACTTTGGGGAAGATCAGCCGTGTAGTCATCAGGAGTTTGTCGCCTCCAAACAAGGGGTCTGGACCCCAGCCAAGTCAGCCATCAGGCACCCAACCTCCCCATAGGGGATCCCACTTTTTTTGCATTTAGCCCAGGACCTAGCCAGACTTCTAAGACCACTTCAAATCATGGCGACCTGCAGTCTTCTCCCTGGATCTAGTCTCAATCAGAGCTGACCTTCTCCCTTCCCCCTGAACTTGTCCACCCATCCCCAAAGCCAAGGCCAAGCCAGAGTTACATTTATGGGGAATAGGAACACAGACACCCAAGAAAACACAGGATAGAGATCCCTTAGGCCCTAATTTTTAATATTTTGCTTTGTTGTCCTGATTTTAGTGCTTCCTAATATTTTTTACATCATGGCACAAATAGAAAATTTTAACATATGTGTGGCACACCAAATGAAAGAATAAGACTGCCCATTATCAAAGGCTCAGGCAGTTGTACATCTGGCACTTGATTTCTGCTCAGGTCATGATCCTAGGGTTGTGGGATCAAGCCCCGAGTAGGGCTCTGCACTCAGTGTGGAGGCTGCTTAACACTCTCTCTCTCTCATTCTCTCTCTCTCTCTCTGCCCCTCTCCCCCACATGTGTTCTCTCGAAAAGAAAAGAGAAGGGAAGGGGAAGGGAAGGGAAGAGAGGGGAGGGGAGGGGAGGAGAGGGAAGGAAACAATAAGCTTTGAAAACTTGAGTAATTGGGTCAAAGTCACCCAATAAGAGTCAGATCTAGAACCCAGACTAGGCCTTGTCTAACGCTCAAACCTTTATGGAGTCTCTGAGATAAAAAGGGGCAGGCTGGAATTGCATGGAACTCCCCTGGCCCCTCACATATACTCTGACAGGCACACATGCAGGAACTTGGGAGGGGGCTGCAGACTCACTCATATCTCCAGGGGGAGATAGACCTGCTGTTGAGGGGTCCATCTTCACTGGCCCTGCAGGATTCTGGGTGGTGGATGAGGCTAGTGGTCTCTGGTGGGGTCATGAGCACAGTGTTCTGCGTCAGCCATTCATGAGTGGAGTCCTGGCCTTTGCTGGGGCAGCACCTGGACCAGTGGATGCAGTCCTTCTTGATCCGAATACTGAGGGTGTGGGTTCCCATGGCCATTACCAAGAACACGACCACCTATAAGAAAAGCCCAGTAAGAGACCTCTCAACTAATCTGGGTATTCCTTCCCCAGTTGTGATCCTGGTTTCCAGCTCCACCTGATCCCCAGCCCCAAACCTGGCCTCTCTCCACCCTCAGCAATGTCCCAGCACCTGCCAGGCCCCCTTGGACTCACCTGGTTCATACTGGATGCTGCTCGCCCAGCCAAGGTACTGCACTGGCTGACAGGTGGGGCCTTGTGGAAGCAGGCTGACTGGAGCAGCTTGGGCGTCCTGGTTTTATTTTCAGCAAACCTGTTTTGTTTATTCAAATTTATTTCCACAACCTTTTGGAGGGAGTGACCTGACATTAAAAAACAAAACAAAATCAAAAAAACCCTGAGAGGGTTTTCAAAGGGCTGATCAAGTGCCATCTGCATGGAAGTTATAATTCACATCACACCTTGGTAGACTATTTGGGACACTTTGTTCTTTGCACCTTTCCTGGCATGGGGTCAAAGTAATGGTATTCTGCTATTCTTGGTGTTGAGAACTGACATTACGGTAATTTCCCTGACTGGCCTCGTACCCCAAATTAGAAAACATCTTCTGGTCTGTCTTCAGGAGGCCTCAGTTCCATGCTCCCCCACCCCCCAGGGCCTGGTCTCCACCATTCCCTTTTTTCTCAAACACCCTCCTGATCACTCACATCAGTGAACCTTTCCCTCTCTCCTCATTGTCCCTCAACCCTTCTGTTCTCTGACTCCTTCCTCACTTTCAGTGACCCCAACTACTAGGACCTTCATCATCTAAGATTTCTTCCTCGTTGTCCACTCCCTAACTTCCCCTCGCCATTTCCAGTAGTGATGCCCTACACCCCATCCCAACCTTCCCTGACTTCCTCTGGATCAGGGATACAGGTCTAACCTCATAGGACTGCCAGGAATACCCTGACCCTATCAGTTTTTTGGCTGGATGCTCAGGGTCTGATGGAAGAAGATGTAGGTGGTTGCTTCCATTGCACAAATGAGAAGGTGAGGCCAGGAAGAGAAGGGGCTCGGTTATTAACAGCTTCAATAAGACCCAACAGGAAGTCCTGGCTCCATAACAGATCTGTCCCTACCCCTGCTCACAGGGCATTGGGGACAAGAGCCATAGCAAGGGTAGCTGCCCCTCTTAGGCCATGGGGCAAGCCCACCTAGCCTCAGCCCTGCCCCCAGCTCCCCGGGCCACTGAGGGAGCATGTGTGCTCAAAAATGCTTTAACTAGGCCTGATGGCAAAGACATGGGTCAGCCAGGGGTGCCCCCACCTGGGAGACACTGCCCTGAGAGTCAGCCACCAACTTCCCTCCAGGCCTCTTTTCTCCATCCTTGCCCATCGACCCCCCTCATCCCCCACACCCACAACCCCCCCAACCCCAACACACTCATACACAGACATGGTCTCTAGAATGATGTTTCTGATTTGCATGTGCTTTCCCTTAGAAAATACTCCTCTAGTAACCAGGGACTCAAAATAAACAAAGGGAACCAGGAATAACTTAAACTGCAGAATGAGAAGGAATCCTTCAAGTGTTATAGGGCAGAGCAGCCCCAGAGCAGAAGAGTGATGAGGGCAGGGGGCAGTCTGGAGAATTGGGAGAAGATGTTCTGTGGTTTGGGGGAAGCCTGGAACTAGGGGTGAGGCGGGGGCTTAGGAAAAATAGGTGGTGGCTGGGAGAGCAGGAGCTCAGGAAAAGCACTGAGGAACAGGAACACATCACCGGGCTCCCATTGCCCAACTGTCTGCCGTATGCTCGCTGACGCCCTCTCATTTCTGCATGTCACTGTCCTCAGTTCCTGAGTGTCACGTGCCAGATGGTGCCAAGCCTTGCATATGCATCAGCTCATTTTATCCTTACGATAAGACCATGAGATGGAAACTATTATCCCCATATTACAGATGAGAAAGCTAAGACTCAACCAAATTTAGTAACCTACCCAAGCTTGCACAGTTAGGGAGCGGCAGAGCAGGCTTTCCACTCCAGCCCTGAGCAACTTCAAACCTAATCTCCTGGCATGGAGATAACACACTGTGCTGACACCCAGTAAGCTGCAAATGGATGAGAAATCCCTGCAGTATGTGCTTTCCTACTTACCCAGGCTTGGACCACAACAGGTCTCATTTGAACCTGCCAGAGGCCATGGGATATTCCTGCCCACTCAGGCACTCAGCCCTGATGGCTAGGATCCACTGCTCTAGCTCCTTATTCCCCAGAATTTGGTCTGGCACATGGCCACCAGGGTGGCTTTTGGTGTTCCTGAGAAACCCCCAACCCCAGAAAAGGCTCTGAGGGTGCACTGCCCTCCCAAGAGAGCTGGATTCCTTTGGATGTCTTCCAAACCAATCACAGCCACAGAGCCCAGGATGGGGTGCTCAAAAGAGCTGGAAGATCCCAGCTACTTGTTTCACTTATTGATGCTACATTGCCCTTCAGGAGAGGCCTTTGGGGGTGTCCCCCTGTCTCTGTACCAGGATGTCCTCTGAGGAAACCCCTAAAAGGCAGAAGAGCTCCCCCCATCCAAGCACACAGCTGCCCCTCCAGTCGGCCTTTCCCCCACTAGGATGATTGGTTCTGACCTGAGAACCTGTGCTCTGAGTCACACACACCCCACCCCCTTGGGTTTGCTCAGCCTCTGCCCTTATCTCAGTAGCAGACTCCTTAGGGTGATCCCCTACCATGAGAAACATTTTCCAGAGGGTTTTCCTCCTAGGGTAACTAGTTTTGGAATCCCTGAGTCACTTCAGCTTCCAGGGAATCCTCTGGGGTGTGGGGAGATAGGGGTGGCAATGGGAAGAATGGTGGAGGCGGAAACAAAGGAAAGTTCACCCAGCACCTGTCCTCACCTGCCTGGGCCCAACTGGCAGCCAGGAGGGGCTGGCTGAGTCCCTGGAAGAGGAATCAGCACCCAGCAGGAAAGGGCAGGGGAGATGTAACAGAATATATCCCTACCTCTGGTCAGGAAAGACTCTAGGGGCTTTCAGAAAGCTAGATATGTGGCTGTCCTGCCCTTTCACAGAAAGACATCCCAGTCCTCACCTGTTGCCTTGAAGCCCTGACTCTGCCTCTGGTCATTTCTTGACTTTAGGCCCTCTCTGGACCTTTCTCCTCATTTGTAGAAGGGTTTGTGGTTTTTGTTTTTGAGGGGGTAAACTCGTTGACCACAAAAGCACCAGCCAGCTCAGCTGCCCTGGATCCCAGCTCCTGAAATAATGCTGAAACCACAGGACTCAGCAGAGTCTGATGAGGCTTATCTGCACACATCGGATGTGAGGTAGGGACACTAGTCATTAAAATACTGAGATATGCCTGCTCCTGCTGATAAGAGCATGCTGCCATCAGCCCAGGGGGTCCCTTCTAAATCACAACCTGCCTGTGACCCAGCAACTGAAGGCCTGTCCCAGATGGGGGTCTCCAGAATACTGCACCCGTGTCCTGATTAGTAAGTGATTAACGGTACTGGTTGCTACCTAATTATAGTATCCCCTTTAGGTACAAAGATGCTTGGGCTTAGGAACCTGCCTTCAAAGAGAGCCTTGTCTGGCCTGGGCGACACATGGAGAATCAGGGTGAACTGGACAAAGAGCCCAGCAACTCCCTCCCCCAGCCCAGCACTGGGCCCTGGGCTTACTCAGATTCGTCCTACAGTCATGGCTGCCCTGTTATTTCATTCACTTACCAGCTATTTATTGAGTGCCTACTGTGTGCCAGCCACTATTCTAAATGCTACCAGGAGTGCAGAGGAGGACAAGCCAGATAAGTTCTCTGCTTCATGAAGCTTACATTTTAGGAAGAGACAGATGATAAACAAGGAAACAAGATAATTCCTGATAAAAGTTAGTGGTATGAAGAAAATGAAAGTGTTATGAGATGGGGGCTGAGGGGGTAGAGGGAGGGAGTTGTTTTAACTTGGAAAGCCAGGAAAATCCTTTATGAGGATACAGAATTTGACATGATGATGGAAAGCATATAAGGGAAGAATCGTCTAGGCAGAGGTAGCAGGACATGCAGAGTCCCAGAAGTGGGAAAGAGCTTGGCATATTTGAGAAACAGAAAGGACGGTGTGGATGGAAAACAAAGTATAAGGGGGAGGGTGGGATGACATAAGGTAAAGACCTAGGCAGGGGCCAAATCACATAAGGTCTTCCAGGTTGTGATAGAGCATTTGGACTTTATTCTAAGGTAAGGGCGAAGGTACTGACTGGATTCAAGCATGATCTATAGGATGTGAGTTTCTCAAGGGCACTCACTGTTTCCTTGACCTTCTGCTGCCCCCATAGGGCTGCCATCAAATAACAAGAATAATAGTTGCTTTTATCCAACATTTACACAGCATGGGTGAGGTACTCTGGAATTTCTTTTTATTTATGTTTTAATGTTTAGCTATTTTTATTTTTGAGAACAGGAAAAAGGCAGAGAGAGAGAGAGAGAGAGAGAGAGAGAGAGAGAGGAGGGAGATAGAGAATGCCAAGCAGACTCCATGCTGCCAGCACAGAGCCCAATGCAGGACTCAACCCCATGAACTCTGAGATCGTGACCTGAGCTGAAATCAAGAGTTGGATGCTTAACCAACTGAGCCACCCAGGCACCCTGTTAGGAATTTCTTAATCCTCACAACAAGCCTGATGCTATTGGTTCCATTATTATCCCCACTATATAGACCGGGAACCAGAGGCTCCAAGAGGTCATGCCAAGGTCACTAACTAGTATTGAAACCAGGAGTAGAATCCAGGCAATCTGGGTGCTCTGGGGTCCAAAGAGAGGAGAACTGGAAGAATTCTTGAGCACCTGAGTTTTGAGCAGCAAGAGGAGTAAAAACAGATCAAGGAAGTCATGGCGTAGGATGGAAGAGACCAGGGGTAGGCCCTGCTGAGAAGGGGAGAGAAGCTGGGGTCCAGAAAGCCAGGTGGAGTGGTTCCTTCCTTTCTGTCCCTTGAATATGGCCAGGGCAAGCCCTGAAGCTGAGGGCCAAGCAGCCAGTAGCCTGTCGCCCACTTAGGGTCTCAGAGCCCAGCTTGGGTTTTCTCCAACCTTACCTGGACCCCAGAGCTCTCCCTAAACAAGGTAGAATCGCCTTAAAACCTCTGCAAAGGAGAAGGCAAAGATAAGGACAGGGAACGGCTCCTCCGGGTGTCAACAAAGAAACACTTCCAATTTTCATCAAAGTACAAGTAGGGGGGTGGCAAAAGGAGCCAAGGTGAAGAAAAGTCAGGCAGGGAGATCTTTGCTCTCGGCATTTTATATATATTTACTCTTCACCAAAGACACTGTTACAGATGAAGACCTGAGACTCAGAGATGTTATATAACTTGACCAAGATCACATAGCTAATAAAACAGAATTCATTCTTGAGTCTCACTGGCTCTATTTCATGCCTGGACACTCCAGAAGCATATTTTTATTTTCCTGCAGGTTTGTATTCTGCTCTCCCTCATCTACATGTATTTCCCCAGACACTGAGCTACAGGCAATGAGCCCCAATGCCCACCTCCCAAACCACCATTCTGCCTGGTCCTAGAACTTCTTTTCTGCCTAATCTTTTCTGACCTCCATCTACTTCTCCTTGTGCCTGTCTGAGCATTCATCTTTGGGAACTGGAATTCCTGCCCACTTCCATCTTGTGTCCCAATTTGCCCTGGCAGTCCTCTGGGCAGAGCATACCAAGTCACTCCCCACCAGCTGAATGTCCGTGTTCCAGGCAGCCAGGGCCCCAGGACTGGGGTCTGGAGGAGACTGGACAGGGGCTGGAGCTGAACTGGGGAGCTCTCCCTTCAGATGCATCTGGAAATGTATAAGTTCCTCTACTGCCCTAAGGGTGTCTAAGTCTGTTTGGAGTTCCCAGGCCCACCTTCCGTTTGCACACATCTCTGAGTGAAGCCCAGATCCAATACTGTACTGTCCATCTCCATGTTAACCCTGAAATCTCTTCCTAACCCACCGCATAGGTCCCACAGGGCTCTTCACAGGTGCCCAGGTGACAGGGAAGGGGAACCAGGCCAGGTATCCCCTTCCCCTCCTAGAAAATGCCTGGATGTGTGGGCCTGTGGAATGTGGGGAGAGAAGGAGGCATCCTCAGGTTCACAAAGGGCCTTGAATTAGACTTCTGATGTTATCTACAAATGAAGTTATACATAGAGTCATTGTCTGTTTTATGTGTTTGAAGTGTTAATTTGTTAAACGTAAACACTGAAAATCTACTACAGCTTTTTAATCCTGTTTGGCATCTCATTTTTTAAATACTAGAAACTTCAAAAATGGAAGAAGGAAAGCTCCCTTCCAGCCTAAGATGCTTTGAGGTGTGTCCCAATAGGAAGAAGCAGGAGATGGGGGTAGCTGGAGGGAACAGCACACACTAAGGAGTAGTAATAGGTCAGGAGAAGTGTGGGAACCCAAGAACCCTGTCCTTGCAGCTGATCCCAGATCCTCTGAAAGAGGTCTGCCCTTTTGTGCCCGCACTCCCCACTCCTGCTCCGCGTGGCAGCCGAGTGAGGCAGAGTGAGGGCGGGGGACAGGCCCAGACTGGCAGAGAAGTGTAAGAACGGCACAACCCGCCCGCCTTCAGCTCTGGGACCAGGCTCATGTTCTCTCGCCAGGGCCAGAATCCATGACCGGCTGCAGACCCCCGCTGTCCCCCGCAAGAACGGTTGGCCACCGCTGCCACCCCTGCGGAGGTAACGCCAGAGAGAAGAGACGCTCTGCTGAGGACCCCGGAAAGGAGGAGGGAGCGCGCTCCCTCCCAAGGGAAGGACAGATGTGGGGCTCATGAAAGGGAGGCAGACAGAGGCGCGGGGCTCACTGGGCAGAGCGGGGGCGTGGCGGGGTGAGGGAAGCTCCCAGGAGAAAACGGACCAGACCGCGGGGAGGTCGGCCTTGACGGAGAGGAAGAGGCGCCGCACAGAGGGCCCGGGAGGGGGCGTGCAGTTTGGCCCGAGGGTCTCGAGCTGAAACTCAACACCCGCCTTTGGAGGGATCGTCCTCCTTTCTCCTCCGCCCCTTCCCTTCCCCTCCCTTTTCCCCTCCCTCCTTTCTTTTAATCCCCAGGACTGAGTCCCGCGCCGGAGCGGAGAGGGCCCGAGGGGAGGAGGAAGGAACTACCCTGAGAGAGAGAGAGAGAGCCGGGAGCCCGGGAAGGGGAGGGAAGGGGAGCCGCGCGCGGGGCCTGAGCCTGCAGGCCACGCGCGCCCCCCCGGAGCCTTCGCAGCCCCCTCAGTGTTCCCCTACCCTCTCCAGGCGAGTCCACAGGACCCTGGCCCCTGCTCCTCCTTCGCCTTCTCTTTGCTGCTTCTTTTGCTTTGTGGCCTTTCTTTCCGTCCCCAGAGCCACCTGGGAGCTGCCCAGGGCTCCGGGGCGCGCCGAGGGGGCCCTGCCGGGGGTGCGCGTGAGCGGACCGCGGGGTGGCGGCGTGCGGCGGCTGGGCCCTGAGACGGCGCGTGGAAAGCCGTCCCGCCCCTTCGGGCCGAGCCCGCGTGCGGGGAGCGAGGTTCCGTCGCGGCGCCCCCCAGCCCCGGGCGTGCTGAGAGTGAGTGTGCGTGAGTGTGAAGCCGCCTCGCCGCCGGGGGTGCGAGTGTCTGGGCGGAACGCAGCCACTCGGGCAGCGCAGCCCCAATGGCCACGCTCTCGGGGGCCTTCGGCGCCAGCCTGGCCTCCTTTCGCCAACTTAGGCGAGTCTGAAGAGGGGCGAACGACTCCGCGCTCGCTCGCCCCACCCCCTCGCAGCGGGGCCGCCCTGACCACAGCCCTGGGAGCACCGCTCACCGCCGCGGCCCCCGGGTGGGGAGGGTTGGCCTCTGAACTCGCTCGTCCAGCCCAACCGCTTCTGCGGCTTCTCCCAGCCCTCGGGGCCGTCCTGAGCGGCCTGGCGAGGCGTCGAGCGTGGCCCCAGCTCCCGCCTCCTCGCCTGCCCCAGCCCTGGGAGGGAGCTTTCGGCCCATGCAGACCCGGGGTCCCTCCGCGGCCTAGGGCAGGCAGCTCCGGGGGCCTGGCCAACCCCGTGGCCCCCGGGACAACCCGGAGCGCGCGCCCTTGGATGAGGTCCCGCAGCGACGCCCCGGCCCGCCCCGCTCCTCCTCCTGCCCGGCCAAGCTGCCTCCCATTTGGGGAGTTTTGTGGTCTTTCTTTCTCCTCCTCCAACCTCCGGGGAGGCCACGACTCAGGCGCCGCAGCCGGGGGCCGCCTCCATGGTGCGGGGCGGCCGCTGCTGAAGTCAGCGAAACCGAGCCTGGCCTGGAGAAGGCCGCGCAGGAGGCCAAGGCCATGGCCATAGCCACGTCGGTGAGTCCACCAGGGAAAGGAGGCTGCGGACTTTTGGCCTCTACGGTCTACCCTGCACTCCTGTCACTTTTATTTCTGCCTTCTCTTTGTCTTTCTCCCAGGGCCCTTTCTCCTCCGGGAGGCTGTGTCCAACCCCCTACCCCAAACCACTTTTGTTTCTCTTTCTCCCTCTCCTCATCCCCAGCTCCTTCTGGGTTAGGTTACCCCTTCTCCCCTCTTCCCCCTCATTCTCCTCTTTTCTTTCAAGAGGCTACCCCTGGATGGAGGGGAGGGGGCAAGCCTAGCACGAGTCCTATCTGCTCTTTTATGGGCGGGAACAGATGGCCACCGGTGGTTGGCAGGGGCTTGTGATTGGGAGGCAAGTATAAGGTTGGGAGGGGGCTGAACGGAGGTGGCTCCAGGAAAGTGGGAGAGGCCAAAGAGGCCCTTCTCTTGAAGAAGGATGGAGGAAAAGGGTAAAATTGAGCCCAAGAGGGAGATCTGTTACGGAGAGAGGGAAAATAGAGGGAGGAGGAGAGGTGATGTCAACCAGCCTCTGGCCACTTTCCGGGGACTGGGGACAAAGGGAGGAGACAGCTGGCATGATGGGACAGTGGGAGGAGGCCTCCTAGAGAGTTGTGTGGCCCACTGCCACTCCACCCGCCTACTCCACCCCCACCTCCCAATCCCCAGTTAAGGCAGCCACTCCCTCACAAGTCAGCTGGGCCCCTGAGGAGGGGATAGACCAGAGGTGGCCACACCCATCATCAGTCAGTCTATCAGCAACTCTGGCCTGGGTTCCCGAAATTGTAAGGCCCAGAGGTCTGGCCCCATTGGATGAAATTCAAACCTTAGCACCAGGAGGAGCTCTCCACAGCCCCACCTCTGCTTTCGGTCCTGTACACCCTATAGTCTGATTCCAAGCAACTCTAACCCCTTTCCACCATTCCCTGGACCCTGTGGTTCCCTAGGGAAAGCGAGTCTGCTGCCTGCCTTCTGGCCCCCTCTGAACGGGTGCTCTGGGAAGGAGATCTGTGAGGCTGGAAAGAAGCATGGCTCCTGACATTCTCCCATACCCCTCAAGGATGAGTTCAATTATCACTCTTTCTTAGACCAAACTCCTTTTAGCTCCTCAATCTGTGTGATGGAGAAGACCTTAGCTCAGAGCCTGGAGAAGGGAAGATCCTGAAAATAGTGGGGGTACTCTGGCGTAAAGATGCTGGCACAGGAGCTGGCAGCTCCTCAGCTTTGTGGTCCTAGGAGGTAGATTTTTGTTTTTACCTAGAGGTAGGAGGTGGCATTTATGCTAATCAAACTCACGGGATCCTAATAACAGCTAATATCTATTGAGCATTTACTGGCCCTAAGCTTTGTTCTGGTTTGTCCTGGTTGTTGATGCATCAGCTCATCCAGTCCTCACAAGAACCCTGTGAGGCTAGTGCTAGCTTTGTCTGAAAATGAATATTTGTGTGTGTGTGTTTGTTTATTTATTTTGAGAGAGATAACACACACACGTGAACGAGAGAGCGAGAGTGAGAGAGAGAGAGAGAGAGAGAGAGAGAGAGAGAGAGAGAGAATCTGAAGCAGGCTCCCTGCTGTCAGTGCAGAGCCCGACTCAGAATTCAAACCCATGAATCATGAGATCATGACCTGAGCAGAAATCAAGAGGCAGATGCTTAACCAACTGAGCCACCTGTGTGCCCCTGAAAATGGATATTTGGATATGGAAATGGAATTGCACAAAGGAGGAAACTGAGGCTTAGGAAGGTTAAACAACCTGCCCAGAGCCACCCAGCTAGAAAAGGACAGAGCCAAGACTCAAACCCAACTCTGTCTGCCTCAGAACTGTGCTTTTAACCCAATGTCTAATCCAAAGTACTAATTTCTAGTTTACACTTAGAAAAGTGTGGGGCTAACCAGGAATTTGTGTCATCTGGTTGGCATGTTTTCTTTCTGTAGGACAATATCCTTTTTTTTTTTTTTTAAAGTTTTTTTTTGAGAGAGCACATGTGTGCACAAACCAGGGAGGGGCAGAGAAAGGGGGACACAGAATCTGAGGCAGGCTCTGTGCTGACAGCAGAGAGTGACCTGGGGCTTGAACCCATGAACTGCGTGACCATGACTTGAGTTGAAGTCAGATGCTTAACTGACTAAGCCACCCAGGCTCCCCAGCCAATATCCTTTAGCAGCCAAAATATAATCAGAAGATGGTTTGAGGACTTTGGAATGAGGCAAGAGAAAAAAAGGCAGTTTGTTAAATTCACCAAGCTATGAAGGGCTGGACAGCCTCTCCACCCAAGGGAAATGTCAGTTAAGAGGAACATGCACTCATGCTGGCTGAGCAGGGCCTCCTTCTTCAGGGCCTGGTGGCCAAATGCAGTCTGCCAGAGATCTTTAGCTTGAGATGTTTTACTGAATTAGCCCACATGAATTACCCATTAGGTAGTTATGCCTAACTACTAACTACTTGCTCTCTACCACCACTGCCCGGGATCCTGCCAGCAGGTGCAGTCACTTAGCAAACATAACCAAACCAGAATATATGTTGATATTGTGAATGGTGTAAGCTTGATTCTACCAAAGAACATCATGGAACCAGAGCCCTATGAGGGGTGGCTAGCAAAGGGAGATTGGGAATAATGAAGATTTCATAATGCACTTGAGTCATGTTTGAGTCATGGACTCTACTTAACCAAGAAGTTAAGTTACTAATATAAGAAGAAAAAAAATAGAACCTCATGTTTGATTATGGAGAGGTAGTAGGGGGTGATTGAGGGTGCGAGCTCTGGAGTCAGACAGCCTGGGGTTCAAGTCACCTCCACCAGTGGCACCAGCTCTATGTTGTAGGCAAAGTCCTACCTTCTCTATCCCAGTCTCCTTTCCAATGGGGATAATGATAGCTCCTTCCTCATAAGCTTGTTTTAAAAATTCTTTTATTTTTAAAAATTTTTAATGTTTATTTTTATATTTGAGAGAGAGAGTGAGAGGGACAGAGAGAGACAGAGACACAGAATCCAAAGCAGGCTCCAGGCTCTAGGCTCTGAGCTGTCAGCCCAGAACCTGAATGCAGAACTCGAACTCACAAACCATGAAATCATAACCTGAGCCAAAGTCAGCCGCTTAACTGACTGAGCCACCCAGGTGCCCCATAAGCTTGGGTTTTTATTGTTATTGTTGTTGTTTTAAAGTTTATTTTTTTAAACTATTTTGAGAGAGGGAGGGAGGGGCAGAGAGAGGGAGAGAGAAAGAATCCCAAGCAGGCTCCACATTGTTAGCGTAGAGCCCAATGCAGGGCTGGATCTCATGAACCATGAGATCTTGACCTAAGCCAAAATTAAGAGTTGGGTGCTTAACCGATTGAGCCACTCAGGCACCCCACTCATAAGGTTGTTTTGAGGATTAAATGAGATGAGATGATTAGCGTAAAGACTTGCACAGTGTCTGGATACATGATTTGCACTTGATATATGTGACATACTACCTTAGCATGTGACTCTTGGGGGGGAAAATGCTTAGATGTCCTGACCAGACAGGACTAGGAACAGGCTGATAAATGGTTGCTCTTGGTTGGTCTGCCAGCCCCGTTCCACACACACACATCAGAGTGTATACACTTTTCTCCTCTCCATGGTAACCTCAGCTTCCTCTGATAGAACCTTATTTGCTCAGACTGAGAATAAAACCATTGCTTCAGTTTCTGTTTTCTTCCTTTTTATTCCTAGGCACTATCTGGGCTGCGTTTTTCCCAGTCTCCCTCAAATTGATGGGTCTCTGCTGCCACTTAATCTAACCTGCTTGTGGGGCATATTGACTGGGAAACGGGAAAGGTGAAGGAGATTCTATGGGAGACCTTAGCAGGGCTTTCTCATGTACACAAATCTTTGGAGGAAATTCGTTCAACATATATTCACTGGGGGCTGATTACAGGTGGAGCCCTATTGCAGGGTCTAGGGATACAGCAGTCCCTGTTCCCCAGAGCTTACAGGGTAAGGGAAGAAATAGATGATAAGAAATGAAATAGGCAAATAGTGTAAAGTATTATGAAGGAAACAGTGGTGGAGGTGACACAGAATGGGGTGGGGAGAAGAGTGAAGAAAAGACCCCTTCGAGAAGGAAACACGTAAGCAGAACTGAAGGATAAAAAAGGGCCAGTCAGGGGCACTTGGGTGGCTCAGTTGGTTAAGTGTCCAACTTCGGCTCAGGTCATGATCTCACAGTTCATGGGTTCAAGCCCCACGTCGGGCTCTGTGCTGACAGCTAGCCCAGAGCCTGGAGCCTGTTTCAGATACTGTATCTCCCTCTCTCTCTGACCCTGCCCTGCTCACACTGTCTCAGAAATAAATAAAACGTTTAAAAAAGGGGGTGGGGGGCAGTCAGATGACAAGTCAGGGCAAGAGCATTCTGGGTCAAGGAAACCCCAAGTGCAAAGGCCCCAAGGTGAGAAAGAATTTCTTTAGTTCAAGGAATAGAAAGGAAGAGGAAGAATGCAGGGGAGAAAGCTGGAGACCAGTCAGGAAGAGTGGAGTCAGGAGGTCAGATTTTTAGCTTGAGGGAAATGGGGAGCTCCATAATGTTTTGAGCAAGGGATGTCATGACCTGATGTATGCGTGAGACCCCTCTCCCCACTCCCACCTCACCCACCAGGCCCAGCTGGCCCGGGCACTCTACGACAACACCGCTGAGTCCCCCCAGGAGCTGTCCTTCCGTCGAGGGGATGTTCTACGGGTACTGCAGAGGGAGGGTGCTGGTGGGCTGGACGGCTGGTGCCTCTGCTCCCTGCATGGCCAGCAGGGCATTGTGCCCGCCAACAGAGTGAAGCTCCTTCCTGCTGGCCCAGCACCCCAGCCCAGCCTCACCCAGGTGCTCCCAGCCCAGCCTGGCTCACCACATCCAGCCCCAGAGCACAGCAATGAGGACCAGGAGGTGAGAGCTAGAGCCCTCCCAACCCCAGTTGAGCCCAGTTTCCCCTCCACTGGTGTGTACTGCGAGGTGGGTCAGGGCGATCCCTGAGACCACAGCTCTTCACTGATCATGTGCTGTGTGAAACCTGCCTACCAACCTTTCATGGGCTCTGTTTCCCCATTGGTACAGGGTGGGGGCTGGAAGGGATCTAAGCAGATACATTATCTGCTTCCCTGGTCCTGACCTACCCATCTGTCTTGATCCCCCAGGTATATGTGGTACCACCCCCAGCTCGGCCCTGTCCTACCTTAGGACTTCCAGCTGGCCTCTGCCCGCCCTCCCCTGATCCCATCTACAAGGTCCCCAGAGGGACTGGGACCCAACCAGCTGCCCCTGGAAATGCCTTGGAGGTGAGGACTAGAGGTCTGTGTATGTTGGGCAGGGAACACAGGGCTCTCAGTGGGAGTCCACTGCTGAGTCTGAGAGTAACCGATGGTTCTGTTCCCTCTCCAGGTCTATGACGTGCCCCCCACTGCCCTCCGAGTTCCCTCCAGTGGCCCCTATGACTCCCCTGCCTCCTTTACCCGCCCTCTGGCCCGGGTTGCCTCACAGGCCCCTGAAGAGGATGAAGCTCCCTATGATGTGCCTTTGGCCCCAAAGCCACCATCAGAGCTGGATTCAGATCTGGAGTGGGAGGGGGGCCGAGAATCAGAGCCCCCCCTCTATGCTGCCCCCTCCAACCTGAAACGGGCATCGGCCCTGCTCAACCTGTATGAAGCGCCCGAGGAACTGCTAGCAGATGGGGAAGGTGGAGGCAACGATGAAGGCATCTACGATGTGCCCCTGCTCGGGCCGGAGGCACCCCCTTCTCCAGAGCCCCCAGGAGCTTCGGCCTCCAATGACCTGGACACCTTGGGCCTGCTTCTGGCCAGAAGCCCCCCACTCCCACACAGGCCCCGTTTGCCCTCAACTGAGAGCCTGTCCCGCCGCCCTCTGCCTGCCCTGCCTCTTCCTGAGGCCCCCAGCCCTTCCCCAGCTCCCTCCCCTGCTCCTTGCCGGAAGGGTAGCATCCAGGACCGACCTCTGCCCCCACCCCCTCCCCGCCTGCCTGGCTATGGGGGCCCCAAGGTTGAGGGGGATCCAGAAGGTGGGGAGTTAGAGGATGATCCAGCAGGACACCACAATGAGTATGAGGGCATCCCGATGGCCGAGGAGTATGACTATGTCCACCTGAAGGTGAGCTCACCTCCCAACAGTCCTACCAGAAGTGCCCCCAAGAGAACCAAGGGGAGGAGTGAGAAGACCTGGGGCTCAGAGGGACCCTCCCTTACTTTCTTCACTGGCCCTGCACCTTATGGCCTGGGTCCCCAGTACTTGCCCCCACCACTTATACCAGTGCCACATTCCTTCTAAACCTAGCCTGGGGTCCCCAAGCCATCTAACCTGCCACCAGAGTTTCTCCCAGACCTGGAGTCAAGGGACTACAATCTGATGGCAGAAGACATCTTGGGAAGGAAAGCAGAGGGGAAGGGGCAGGAACACGGGGAGGCCACCTGCCCCACTCCCCCACCACTGCACTGAGACCCTGATCCCTCCTGCAGGGCATGGATAAAGCTCAGGGATCTAGGCCCCTGGACAAAGCCTTCCTAGGGGATCCTGAACTGCTGGAGAGGGGGCCACCGGAGCAGCAGGTAACCCTGGGGGGCAGTACCAGAGAAGGGGGACCAGGAGGAGCAACCAGCAAGGGAGAGAGATTAGGATGGGGGTAAAGAGCTCAGTGAGCCAGAGCTGGGGTAGAGAGGAGTCAGCATTCAGCATGAAGGAGCTGGGACCTGAAAAAGGGTTTTAGGAATTCAGAAAGAGGGGAAAGAATGTGTTGGAGAGGAATCAGAAAACAGAGCAGAGGGAAGCAGAGGGAGTTCTGGGCTCAGGGTCAGAGCTAGGCCAGGTAACTTCTGAGGCTCCTTCCAGCTGTGAGTTCCTGGGTTCCTAAGAGACCTGGCTTCTAATCCCGGCTCCACCGATAAACAGCCAGGGGCCCTGAAGTCACCAGATAATCTCTAGGTCTCAGGAAAGTGAGGTGGTCTCCTTGACTGTGTAGACCGGCCCTAAGCGTAGTAGCTACTGTTTATCAGTTATTTACCTAAAGTGCAGACCATAATAAGCACATGGCATGTGTCAGCACTAATCACAGCCATAGTTAGTACTCCTACGGTGCTCACAGTGTGCAGTGTTCTGTTCTAAGCCTTTTCTATACGCCGCATCATTAACTGTACCACAGCCTTGGGAGGCAGAGACTAGAACTGCACTGTCCAGTAAGGTAGCCACTAGCCACCTGTGGCTCTTAGGCACTTGAAATGTAGCTAATCCGAATCGAAAGGTGCTATAACTATTAAACGCACACCAAATTGTGCAGACTTAGTATGAAAAGAAATCTAAGTAATTTATATATTGATTATATGTTGAAATTACAGCAATTTTTATATCTGGAATTGAAACTCCAGTTTGTTTCTTTTTCTTAATGTGGCTACTAGAAAAATTTTAATTACACATGTGGTTCACATTATGTTGACCTTGGACAGTGCAGTACCAGATTCTCCATTTTAGATTATAAGGAAACAAGTTCAGTTTGAATCTAGATTTATCTGACATCATTTCTGGGCACTTTCCTGCCACTGGCTGTGAGAATTTAAATCTTCTGATGAGCAGAGGGAAGAGCTCAGGTAGAAAGGAAAGGATGAGGAACAGAGGGAGGGAAGGAGGGAGGAAACGATTGCAAAAGTAGCACTACTGAGAGCACCCTGCCAATCACTCCTCTTGCCCTCAGGAGGCCCTGTCCACAGGGGAGCCACTGGACCTGCCCACCGGAGATCTACAGCTCTTGCACTTCTACGCGGGGCAATGCCAGAGCCACTACTCAGCACTGCAGGCAGCTGTAGCAGCCCTGATGTCCAGCACCCAGGCCAACCAGCCCCCACCCCTCTTCGTGCCCCATGGCAAGCGGGTAGTGGTGGCCGCTCACCGCCTGGTGTTTGTTGGGGACACCCTGGGCCGGCTGGCAGCCTCTGCCCCTCTGCGAGCACAGGTCGGGGCTGCAGGTACATCGCTGGGCCAGGCATTGCGGGCCACTGTGCTGGCTGTCAAGGGGGCCGCCCTGGGCTACCCATCCCGCCTTGCGGCCCAGGAGATGACACAGCGTGTGGCGGAGCTGGCGGGGCAGGCCCTACAGTTCACCACTCTGCTCTCCAGCCTGGCCCCCTGAAGGTCCTGCTCTGCCCCTCTCCTGCCTGCCAGAGCCCCCTTTGGGGCCTTGGGCAGGAGGGCTCTGTTTTAAAACCAGGAATGGTGAGGACGTCTCTCCCCTTCCTGTCATCTCAGCCTCTCACAGAGATGTCCCTCCCCCCACCCCCCACAGCTTTTTGTACGAGCCATTTTGTATAAGTTATTTATATTTAATATTATTTCCTGCTTTGTCAAGGGCAGGTGCCAGGCCCCTTGGGGCAGGGAGGAACTGGACTCTTTCCCTCAGCCTGGGCTGAAGGTTCTTGGTCACTGCACTGCCACCCACCTCTGAAAGCTTGGCCCCACAGAGAATCAGGTGACTGAAACCTGGAGCCTCCCAGAGCCCCTTTCTTTTCCTGGTTCTTGGCTCTAGAACATCAGCACCTTACTGTTAGCTGAGAGTGACGGCACGGTATTGACCACCCAGAATGTGGAGGTCTAGGAGAGGCCTCCAGGATCCTCCCCGCAGCAGGCAGGGTGGAGCCCTGCTGTCTGGTTCCCTGACTCTGCTTCTTGGGCACCTGGGGGAGGGGCCTGGCCTAGCATCCCTTCGGCCAAACCTGTGAAACACACACTGTGGGCGGGATGTCTTTAGGTTTGGGGGGAGAGTTTTGCTGTTTTTTCCAATAATTATTCATTCGGTGGGTTTCACCTCCCATGATGTGCCAAGCATGGTTCTGAAGGTACATTGTGGGGGCGGGATGGATATAACTGAGTCAGTTAAAATAAGTAAATAAAAAAAAAAAGAATATGTGCCACAGATTTGACAGTTGCTGGTAATAGAAATGAACAGGGTGATGTGAGGGACTAACTGGATGAGGGAGAGGCTGTTGAAGGAGATTTTAGATGGGATGGTTGGGAATAATATCTGAGCTGAGGCCCCAGGGATGAGAGAACAGAGAAGAGTCTGAGAACTAGCATTCCTGGAAGGCAGACACTGTTACCGACTGGGGGCCTTTCCACCAAGACTTCATTATCAGATGATGTCATTAGAGAATTGCACGTGTGGAGATGATGGCCTCCCAGCCTTGAAAGGTGCCGTGCTGAAGACATCATCCCAGTGGAGGCCTGTCCTCAGCTTGGCACCACAGGACAGCTGTGGCCAACTGGAAAGTGCTGCTGGCTGACCTGGGCGCCCTCTGCCCAAGAAGGTCTGGCCCCTTAAATCTCCTTTCCCAGGCCCCTGCTCACTGCCCTTGTAGATATACCTTCTTTTAGAGGAACCAAAGGGCAGGTGAATGCAATTAGTCCATAGTCCTCATGCTTTGGTGACATTGATGAGCCACGGCTTAGATGGGGGAATCCTCCAGCCATTTACCACAAGGAAGACATCCAAGCCACAAATCCATTGCTTCAGTTGTGCTTTTCCCAGATGACACCTTAGCAACTGGATTGGAGGCACCCTAAACTTCAATCACAGTCCAAGTCTTGTGGCACCCTCTATGCATTTGCCTTCTCCATTTTGGGATCTTTCTTATTTCACCCTTAAAGAAAATTCATTTCCAGATTCTGGGGTCACCAAAATGCACCCCTATATGTTGAAGACTTATAACAGGGATATCTTCTATCATCTCCCAGTAAGAATGTCAAGAGATCAACCTGGAAATTGAGTCAGAGGTTTCAGTGTGAGTCCCAGATCTGCCATGTAGCTGTATGCCTATGGGTAAACCCTGTCAGTTCCTCTGAGTCTTGCGCTTATCTTTTTTTTTTAAGAGTGTAAAAAGTTTAATATCAATATCAATGATAAATAACAGGTGTGGGTTGTTTTTGTTTGTTTGGTAATAGCGCAGTGTCACTGGGCTTATCTTTAATATGTGGATGATCATAATGGTCTCACAGGGTCGTTGTGAGGCCATAACAAGATAATGCATATGAAGGGCCCAGAGCCACATAAAGTTAAGGAATTATAATTCCAGGATAGACAACTATATCCAACAAGGAATGTTGCCTGTGACAGCACCAAAGTAAATCCTAAAGAGATACTGAAATGAATTGGGATAGGGGAGCAATGGGAAGCTACTTAATGTATTAGAAGACTTCCTGTATCTGGAAAATTTCTGAACAGAGGAGACAAATTGGAAATGGTCCAGTGGAGAGAAGAAGCAATGGATTTCCTGGATGAGAATAACAGGACCCTCCTCTATAGCCCTTACCTTAGTTGAAGAACAAAGTACCTGTTAGGTATTAAATCTCTTAGAGAAGTGTACCTCTAACTTGAATGTACCTATACATGAGGATCTGGTTAAAATGGAGATTATGATTCAAGGGCTTGGATAATGCATTTCTAATAAGCTCCTGGATGACGTAGGAGCTCTAGTCTCTTAGTCACACTTTTGAGTAGCAATTCTAGGGCTTTGGGAAGGCTTCTCTGAGGCAAATATGCTTGAGCTAATAGCTGAAGGATGAGGAGAACATGACTAGGAGAGAAGCCTTCAAGCCATAAAGATTAACTTGTGCAAGGGCCCTGTCACATTGGGGGAAAAAAAAGAACCTGAAAGAAGGCCAGTGTGATGAGTGCAGTTTGGAGAAAGAAGCGAGGTGGAGCGCCAGAGAGCATGGGACCAGGCCAACAGGAGCATATATGAGGCTTCTGGAACATTCTCGGTGAGGAGAAGCCAGCATGAAAGGAACATGAACAGATCTGCATTTTGAAAAAAAAAATCACTCCATCTTCACTATAAATACAGATAAGGGAAGGGGGCAGAAACAAAGTGGGTGCAGAGCAACAGTTAGGAGGCTCAAGCAGTCTATGTAACAGGTAGCTTGACTAATGGTGGTAGAAAAGCAGAGTATGTAAGAACTATGCAGGAAGCAAAATGGACAAGGTTTTGTAAGAGATTTGGCATGGGGCTAAGGAGGAGACCTTGTAAGGGCTGTCACCTTGAGCATCCGGTCACAGTTGAATGGTGAGGGTACTATTCACTAGGGAAAGAAACACTAGAAGACAACTACATTACAGGGGGAGAGCATGAGTTTGGTCTTGGATGTATTGAGTTTGAGGTCCTTGTGAGTCACCCAAGGTTAAGAGGATGAATAAGAGGCGGCTACATAGGTCTGGGGCTCAGAAGAAAGGTGTGAGCTGGAGGTGTAAATCTGGAGATTATGTTTGTACTGTTTATATCAGGGGTGGATGAGGCCGTGAGCATGGGTGAGATCCTAAGGTAGAAAGAACAGCGAAATGAGAGGGGGCCCAGGACCAAGCCTCAGGTTCACAGACACTGAGTGATTGATGGTGAAGGAAAGGAGGAGCCTGCCATGGAGAAAAGAGGAGCGAGAGAAAGAAAACCAGGAGAGTGTGAGACTTAGCAGCCAAAAAAGAAAGTGTTTAGAGGAAGGGGTGGTCAACAGTGCCAAATGATGTTGAGGATGAGGAAGACTCTGCCAGGGTGTGGGTGGTAAAACCCTGAGATGTGGTCTTGTGGAGGACTGCAGCCAGGGCTGAGTACAGGGCTCAGCCCAGCCCTCCATGTGCATACCTTGTCCTGTAGTTGCCAGTATCCACTGCTGTCTCCCCAGTAAGCTACTGCAAGGTGGGTCTCGCCCATTCTGTTGTCTCCCAAAGCCTAGCACAAGGCCGGGCACATAATAGATGCTCAATAAATTTTACTGATGAATGAGTGGATGGATGGAAGGATGGAAGGATGGATGGATGGATGGATGGATGGATGGATGGATGGATGGATGGATGGATGGATGAGGAGGAAGAATTGGAAGCAAATGAGGAATCGCTGGCAACTGCCCGGACGAGCTACTATCCTTCAGCTTTCTTTCCTTTTACCGCAATGGCCCGCAGACCCAGGGAACAGAGACAGAGCCCCTGGGCCCTGGCCCCCCTTCCTCTTTCTGACGAAGAGTCTGGACCGAAGGTTCTGCTGACGTGGGAAGGGGAGGAGAGTCTGGAGGAAGGGGAGGGGAAAGCAGCGCAGAGATCGCAGAGACGAAGGAGGCGCCCGCGGCTGCAGAGCTGCAGAGCGGGGTCTCTCCGGCCTCTGTATCCGGGCATCGGTGCCCCACTGGGCCAGAGGACAGCGCATCCTTTCGGTGCGGGCCAGCAGGGCCCCTGCGGTCGGCAAGCTGGCTCCCCGGGTGGCCACCGGGACCCCCGAGCCCAATGGCGGGGGCGGCAGCAAAATCGACAGCACTGTAGAGATCACCCCCAGCCCCAACGGAGTAAGTGCCCGCGCCCCAGGGGACTACGCCATCATCCACCCCCCACCCCGCCCCCCGCACCCGCGCCAAAAAGCCTGGCGTTTTCCTCCCGCGCACTCCCCGCCCCTGACCGCCTTCCTCGCACCGGCTCTCCTGCCTTGCTCTGCGGCTTTCTCCGCTTCACCCTTCTCCCCTCACCCCCCAGCAGGTCGGGACCCTCGGAGATGCTGTGCCCACGGAGCAGCTGCAGGGTGAGCGGGAGCGCGAGCGGGAGCGGGAGGGGGAGGGAGACGCGGGCGGCGACGGAATGGGCAGCAGCCTGTCGCTGGCCGTGCCCCCTGGCCCCCTCAGCTTTGAAGCGCTGCTCGCCCAGGTGGGGGCGCTGGGCGGCGGCCAGCAGCTGCAGCTCGGCCTCTGCTGCCTACCCGTGCTTTTCGTGGCGCTGGGCATGGCCTCGGACCCCATCTTCACCCTGGCGCCCCCACTGCACTGCCACTACGGGGGCTTCGCTCCCAACGCCTCTGGCTGGGAGCAGCCCCCCAACGCCAGCGGCGTCAGCGTCGCCAGCGCTGCCCTAGCAGCTAGCGCCGCCAGCCGCGTCGCCACCAGTACGGACCCCTCGTGCAGCGGCTTTGCCCCGCCGGACTTCAACCATTGTCTCAAGGACTGGGACTATAATGGTCTGCCGGTGCTCACCACCAACGCCATTGGCCAGGTGAGGCATCCTGCTGGGCCGCGGGTCTGGGGGTGGGCCGAGAGCGAGGAGCACGGGGCCTCATGCCCCCTGTATCCCTCTCATATCCCCAGTGGGATCTAGTGTGTGACCTGGGCTGGCAGGTGATCCTGGAGCAGATCCTCTTCATCTTGGGCTTTGCCTCCGGCTACCTATTCCTGGGCTACCCAGCGGACAGGTGAGGGCTGCTTTGGGGACAGGGCAAGTAGAGAGGAGGGGATGCTAGGGTGGCTAGCCCAGGCAGCTGGCCTTTGCAAGAGGCCGAAGAGGAATCTCTGGACTCTACAGTCTTCTGGACTTCTGTTCAATAATATGCAGCCCCATCCCTGTCTCAACTTCACTTCCCATCAAGAAATATTCCTTCCATACCTCTTCTGTACAAGGGGTAACACCACCCATTCCCCATCCCCATATGCTTGGATCAATGGCTAATCTCCAAAGACAATAGCCCCATCCCCACTGACCAAAAACCCTATCTCCACAGATAAAAGTCCTAGCTCCTCCTCTATTGTCCTTGTCATCAGTAACCACCTCCCTCTCCATCTTCATAGACTCATCCCCACTAATAGCCCCATCCACATGATGGAGTCCATCTCAATGGCCTTATTCCTACAGATCATTACATTAATTCCTAAATATCAATAGCCACATTCCCACTGACCTGTATAATTCAACTCTACAAACAAATGGGTCAGTTGTCCAAAACCCATAGATTAATGACCACAATAGCACCCCCTCCCCAGTGATTAATAGTCCCATCCTCATAGGTCTTCAATACTCTTAGATCCTCTCAGATTCAAAGCCCAATTTGCATGAATCAGTGGCCTTATCTCAAAAGTCAACAGCCTATCCCCACCATCCAATAGCTTTTCCCAGGGATCAAAACTCCCAATTCCTTTGATTCTTGACACCATCACCACTGGCCAAGTGTTCTGTCTCCACTGATCATCCATATAGATTATTAGACTCATCTCCACCCATATGCAGTCCCATCCAAATGGATTAATAGCTCAACTTTCATGGATCAAAGGCAGCCCAACAGTCAGTAATCCCTAAAATCAATACCTATCCTCACTGCCTAATAGTCACATACCCACAGGTGAACAGCCCATTCTTATGCATCAGTGGTCTCATTCCCATAGACCAATAGCATCATTCCTATGGAATAAAACCCTCATCCCCAAAGAGTAATAATTCAATCTTCTAAACTCGGTGCCCTTAACCTCATTAACCAGTAAGCTCATCCCCATGGAAAAATGGCCTCATTGTACCGAGTCAGTAGTTTCACTCTCAGAGATCAGTCCCCCTTCCAATGACCAGTGACTCCTATCTTCATCCCCATAGATCACTGGTCTTATCCCTAAAGATCAATATCCCAGCCTCTCAAGGATCAGTAGGCCTGTCCTCCACTGACTCATACTCAGTGACCATCATCACTGACCAATAGTCTCAGCTTCTCTGGTCTGTGACCTCCTGCTTACTGATTATTCCCATGAATTCATATCCCCATAGATTCATCCCCACTGACCAAAAGCCCATCCTCATCCCCAGAGGACTAATGTCCCCCCCTCATCCCCAGAGACCATTTGTCCAGTCTTCAAAGATTAATGATCATCCTCATTGATAAATATTTTTGATAGTAAATAAATAATAAATAATTCCATCCCATGGATCAGTAGATCTTCTGGCAAATGACCCTATCCCTACTGACCATCTTTATGGATTAATTGACCCATGAAACAACCCAAGGAACAGTGGTCATATCCCATCCAACCAATTATTCAGTCCCCTAAGGTCAATAGATACATCATCACTAATACTATCCCCATGCATAAGTAGCCAATGGCCTCACATTCATAGATCTATAG